AACAGTTGTATGAGCCCCTAATAAAATGTTAAAAAAGAGAAAAAAAATAGAAAGAAAAAAAAAAGAGATGCAGAAAAACAAACAAAAAAGAATCTAATAACCCAGACAGATTTAAAATTTGTATAACTTAACAAAAAACAATCATAAAATGAGCAAAAGACTTTGTCTTAATTTCTAGTGCTGCAGTAAGAATGGCATGGGGTAGAGTCTGACCTCCAACTTCATATGGAGAAAGACGAACTCAAACTTAACATCAGTCCAGGCTGATGCCCTTGAGAGAGGTCTGACACAGCTCCAGTCTCCAAACTCCTACTGATTCTGACACCAACCTGCTGTGCTTCCTCAGACACACTACTTCCCTGGTGGGTTTGATAATTCATTTCAATGGCTAGACTCACTGCCATCCAGTTGATGCCAACTCACAGTGACCCTGTAGGGCAGGGTAGACCAGCTCTATGGGAGTGGAAAGCCCCTTCGGGTGGCTGTTGTTTTTCAACTGCTGACCTTGAGAATTCAGGCCAGACACCTCCAGGGCTCTGTGGCCACACAAAACTCATGAATAGTATTCATAATTATTATGGAGTTTATTAGAAGATGAACATTGTACAATTCAGGATCATAAATGCTCGGGTACCTCCCTCTCTGGTCTTTGGCCTCTTAGTCATGCAGTCCCTTGGTCTCTGTCCTGCTCAGGCAATAATGCAAAGCTTCTTTAGCACTGCCAATAAATGCCCAAAGGGCACTCTACTCTGTCACAAGCCTCGCTTGAATGGTACTTGGCTCTAGCTCTGCATCAGCAAAACACATTCACAGTCATCAAGTCAATTCTGACTCAGCCCCATAGGACTGGAACCACCCCAGTGGGTTTCTGAGACTAGCTATGTACAGTCGTAGAAAGCCTCATCTTTATCCCTTAGATCAGCTGGTGGTTTGCAGCCCTACATACAGTCCATGATGTCACCAGGGTAGCATCCCCAATTAAGTGCACGGAGGCATCCCACTCCCACAAGCAAACCGCCTGCTCTAGGGCACTCAGCCTCATTTGCCAGGAAACCCACCAATCTGTCTCCTGCTCTGGCTGGTGGTTGGGCTGCTGACGCGCCTCTGCCATTTCTTCGTGGTCACAGCTCTGCCTACGGCACTGAGAAGGCTCATCATGCTGGGTCTCAGGGTCCATAAGAGATGCTCTGCTCCCGAGTCTTTATTGACGGCGATGAGGCTCTTGCTTCTGAGATGGCTCATTTAAAACTCACTGGGATGGCAAGACTGACGATTGTCAGGATGCCTATACACCCTGTTTGCTTGGTCCCACCAGTCATTCGGCGGGAGTTACAGAGACTATGGCTAGAAGGACCCTATCAAGTACCTCATTCTGTTCAAACAAAGACCACAAGTAGGCACCTTTAACAAACAATACATTTTTTACTATTTAGGAGACCAGAAGTCTCAATCCAGAGGACCAGCTCCAAGGAAAGGGTTTTCTCTCTCTGCCAGCTCTAGGGAGAACCCTTGGTGCCTTGGTGACCCTTACCCTGCTTAATCTGCCCCTTTTCTATCTCAAGAGATTGACTCAAACACTCCTTACTCCAATACCGCCTCGTTAATGTTCAAAGAAGACTTTTTCCCGGCGGGGTTATTAACGCAGGCGTGGGACTAGGATTAAAAACACATGTTGAGGAGACACAGGTTAATCCATCGCAAGCTTGAGTAGACATTTCACTAAAGAGGACGCTCAAATGGCCCCCAGAGACCCGAGAAGATGCTTCACAAAGATTAGCTAGGAACCGTGGGGGGCAGTGAGTGTGTGGTGGTGAGAGAGGAACAACTCAGAAAAGGAGGGTGAACCTGGTGCTGAACTTGAAGAATGTCATCGCTGTCACTAAACTGCACATGCAGAAAAGGTTGACTTGGTATAAGTTTTGCTGTGTGTAGTCTCCACAACCACAAAAGTAGGAGCGGGTGAAGGTGCTTGATGTTATTAGTCATCCATCCAATCAACCAAAACCTCTCTGCCAGAGTCAATTCCAAGACTTGATAGGGTTTCTGAGGCTGTCAATCTTTATGGGAACAGCCAGCCTCCTATTTCTCCCACGGGTACGAATTGCCTGCACTTAGTCCAATGCTTGTCCACCACCACCACCAGCGAGTCGCCTGTGTAAAGCATAGGCCACACACACAAGCCAGCTTAGAGAAGGGCTTTCTTTGGCTTTCACAATGCTTGAAACAGTGAGCCAACATTTTAAAAACATCTACAGCAATCATAAAAAGTAAGACACAATTCCTTCTATTGGTCAGAGACAAGACAAGGATACCTGCTATCATGGCTGGAGGCATACAGCAACAAGGCAAGAAAAAAATGTCTTAAGTTGTGTTTTCTAGTGAAGCAAAACTAATGAAACACACACACACACACACACACACACACACACACGCAGAGAAAGAGACACAGATAGAGAGGCAATATCACAAGGAAATTACAGTGTTGTGGAGTCTGGCAGGTCCCAAATCCTCAACCAGGTGTTGGACAGGAGGCTTCTCCTGACTCGGTAGGTGCTGACAACCCCCCAAGTGGCGGCTCATGCAACAGGCTGTTGACTCTCAGACCTGTGGAAGCCGATGAATCCCAAATTTGATGATCAGATGCAGGCTAGTAGCTCCCAGAGCTGCAAAACCAAACAAGAAAACAACCAAACGCACTGCTATCAAGCAGATTCCAACTTCTTGTGATCCTGTATCAACCCTATTTGAAGAGCACAGGGCGGTAGAAGGTAGCAAATCCCAGAACTGGCAGGTCAGACCCCAGTCTGATAACTCAAGTCCCAAGAACTGGAGGCCATATAGTGACCAGATGCAGGATCCGGGGCAAGAGAGAGCCTTGTCATCCAAGCCATGTATACTGGATACAACCTTAACAAAACGCCTGTTGGGCATAAGGCAGAGTAAGGCTGGGACTCAGGAAACACCCCACTATTCTTACCTCATTAACATCAAAACGCTAGGACTTATAAAATGGGGCTTGTTACATCAGATCACAAAATGGCGGACCACCACACAATATCAGGATTCATGTCCTAGGCAAGTTGGGCAAAGCACCCCAAACTCACTGCCATCCAGTTGATGCTGACTCATAGTAACCCCCCTCTGGGTTTCTAAGACCATAACTGTTAAGGGAGAAGAAAACCCTGCTTTTCTCCCAAGGAGCAGCTGGTGGTTTGGAACAGCTGACCATGCGGATCGCAACCCAAAGTGTAACCACTCCCGCTAGGGCTCCTGAGCCAAGTTGGCACATACTGTTAACCATCACAAATGGCAAAAATGTAATAAAAGATCAGATGGTACTGGATTCAAGGTCGATGTATAAACGTCTGTTGTGTTCCTCTACTTCAGAAG